TTCCTTTCTTTCTTTCCTTTTTTTTTTTTTTTTTTTAACGAAATAATTATAAATAATACTCATTTTCCATTTTTTTTCTCTTTTTTTTATACAATTAATTAAGTTTAATTAATTAATTAGTATAATTCCAATAAGACTAAAAAGCTTCAATGTTAAATTCATTTTACTGTATATATGTTTGTTTGTTTGTTTGTTTGAATTTTGCTTTAAAATAAAATCAAAATAAATGTTTTGAAAAAAAAATATCCGAAATCGAAATAAATATTTTATTCAAAAATTTAAAATTGAAATTTTATTCAACAATTTTACGCCTTTTTTTTGTTTCAAATAAAAATAAATTGTTTAAGAAGTAAAATTTTTGTAATCAAAAAAAAGAGAGACATAATTTAGGAAAGATTTGAAAAAAAGGAAAAAAAAGAGAAGAGAATTTTTCGAAACTTTGTAGCAAAAAAAAAAAAAAAAAAAAAGGAAAAGTAAAGAAGAAACGAGAAAATGACCAAGAAAGATGGAAGGAATGAGGAATGAGAAAGGATGAAAATTTAAATTTCGTTCGATAAATTAAATTTATGTTTTTACGAACAAAATATTAGATGAAAGAGCTAATGCTTACAGCTTGTATCTGTCAACAACTTTTGATATGTTGACATTTTACTTTTTTGATGCTTTCTTTTCTTCAACTGGCTACAGTTTATTTATTGTGATGATGATGATGATGATGGTGATAACTTAGTGATAATGATTATAGTAATAGCAGCAATAAAAATAGCAGTAATAATAAAATATTGGTTGCTTATTTATAAGATAATTATAATGGATTCATTAATTATGATGATTTAAAGATTATGATAATGATATGTTTGTGGGTGATTATGCTATTTAACACTTTCGATATATGATAATGATAATAATAACGATAAAATAGTGATAATAGTAATAAAAATAATAGCAATAAAAAATGCTGGATGCTTATTTATAAGATAATTACAATGGATTCATTAATTATGATGATTTAAAGATTATGATAGTGATATAATGATTACAATATTTAACGTTTTTTTTTTAGCATATTTTCTCTAGACTTCCGCTTAATCACTTAATGGTTCTTTTTTTTTTTTGCAGAAATAATTACCGGTAATTCATATATTCCGGTAATAACTATTCCGGATGAATCGATCTTTTTCTGGAAATCATTATCCATCTGTTCAGTCAATTGCAGTCATTCGTCTTATTATTCCATTCTATATTATAGCCAATTTTTTGCCACTAATTACAATTGCTAGTGCTAATATTACTTCAAATACTGCAAAAAATATCCCGAATCCTCGGATCAAATCTATTCCAACGGTCAAAGGTTATCAAAATAAGACTGAACGATCACATCGTAATACGAATAATATTCAAATCGCTAATTCACAATGTCCAAATTTTTGCGAATGTGAACATGTCATTTGGGATGATGGTACTACTATTGATGGTACCATGGAAATTTCCGTATATTGTCATCAAGGTGGCCTGGAACAAAGAGCATTTTCGAAACTTCTCAAACAAATTCCCAAAGAAGTAACAGTATTGGATGTTGAAGCACCATTAAATCATCCAAATAATCTTCTCTGGGATGATAATTTAAATCAATTGCGACATTTGCGCATTCTACGCCTTATTAATTGCGGTATTCCATCAATAAGTCGTGATTTAAAATTACGCTCATTGGAAATACTTGATCTACAAGGAAATCGTATTCAACATTTACCAGTTTCAATATTTTCTGGTATACCAACTATACGTGAGCTTAATTTAGCTAAAAATTCATTAAGTGTACTACCAACAGGCGCTTTTACATATCTTAAAAATTTACAAATTCTTTCCCTAGCACATAATAATATTACCGAAATTACGGTAAATTTATTACGTGATTTAAAAAAATTGAAAACACTACATTTGGATGGTAATCGAATACCTGTGCAACAATTTAATTTACTCTTTACGGATATACCACAGCTGGAACGTTTAGAGCTTAATGAATGTGGCTTAAGTATTGGTGCAGTAAATGATTTAGCATTGAATAAATTTCATTCATTACGACAACTTGGCCTTGCTGGTAATATGCTTGGTAAAGTACCAATAAGTGTATTACGTAATTATTTAAGTTCATTAAATACACTTGATTTAAGTAATAATGAACTTGTTGAAATTGAATCAGAAATATTTGCTAAAACAAATATTACACGATTATTACTTGCTGGTAATCAACTTGGTAATCATCAACATGCATTATCATTTAATTCATTAAAAACTGGAATAGCAATACGTGAATTGGATTTATCACGGAATAATTTTCAACATTTTCATGCGGAAAATCTTGGAATAGCTCGTAATACGGTGGAAATTTTACATTTAAACGAAAATCATATTAATGGTATTGGACAATGGCTAACAGCTAATATGACAAAACTTAAAATACTTCATTTGGGTTATAATTTTATTGAATATTTACCACAACAATTACCCAATGAATTTGCACAACTTGTATTTCTAAATTTATCCGGTAATCAATTAACAACATTATTGGAACATTTACGAGAAATTTTACCAATGCTACGAATGATTGATATTTCGGAAAATCGATTTACATCATTTCCAGTAACAATAATTCAAAATTTTCTCAATAATTTGGATAAAGTTAGTTTTTTTTTTCGTTTGTCTCATTTGAATTTATCGTTATTTAATTTAAATTAATTTAATCAAATAATTTTAAAATGGATAAATAATTTTCTTTTGCAATAATTCGAATAAAAAGAAATTAGTTTTCTTTTTTTTTTATTCTCTTTGAATTTGTTGTTGTTTAATTTGAATGATTTTTTTTGAATCTTCCTTTTTTTTGAAAATTTGACTAATTTCTTTAACATTTACCATATTTATTTATTCAAGTATTATTTACTCATTTTAGTGATAAAATATTGAAATGAAATTTTACAAATTAATTAATTTCTTCCCTTTTTTTTCGTCCTTCTTTCAACTTACTTTTTTTCAATTCTTTTTTTTAAATTAAGAATTTTCCTCACGATCAAATAAAATTTGAATAATTTGAAAATTTTGTTTATAAATTTGTTGATAAGGATGAGGAATAATATTGTCTAATATGTTTGTTTATTTGTCACATTGATATGTTTACTATTTTGATACGGTCATCTAAATCTCTCAATGTTGTATATAGATGAATAGATGAATGCCTGCTGGACGAAGGTCAATTATAGATAATCCTGTAAGCTGTTGATCAGTAGTAGGTCCACTTCAGTTGAAGGTCATTTTCTTTTTTTTCAAGAATAAAATAAGAACCTTGAAATTGGTCATTTCAATGAATTATTGTCTGTCTCAGTTAAATTTGAAATTGGTCATTTTGCAAAATTTTTGTCTCAGTTGAATTAAAATCAAATATATCAATTTATTAGAAGTTTTAATTCAAATTTTAAGTACAAATTTTAAATTTAAAAATAAATAAAATTATTTTGCCACTTTTTTTGTGCATGCAAAAATTTGGTGAAATTGTATTAGAACCTCAAAAAAAAGAAAAGAAATTAAGAGACGAATACAATGACCTCCATATAATGATAATAATTTGCGAAGAAAAAAAAAAAAGACATCAAATTCTATGAGTTCTATTGAAATTTCAAGGATATTTAAATTTCAATCCAATTTTTTTTTTAAAAAAATAATTTGTTATTATTCAATCATTTATTCATAACTATATTTCATTGATTGTTAATGTTATAACATGTAATGAAAGAAAAAAATATAATTATCATAATTATCTTTATCGAATATAACAATACTTATTTCGATGAAAAATTGGATAAAATTAATTTTTGATAAAAATTATTTATTTATTTTTATTAATCGAATTATACGTTGAGAAAGTCTATGGTGACCTGTTTTGTTTACTTATTCATTAATTTGATTGATTTATTTAAATAGGATACGCGACAAATTTTTTAAAACTATTAAATTTACAAAATATTTCAAGTTATTAAGTTAAATATAATGTTTTAGGTTAACAAATGTTATATTTAAAAAGGAAAAGAAGTAAAACATTACAGGGTATTTTAACCAATTTATTTATTTAAATATAAATAGATACTTCGCCTAATTAAGTGTTAATTAACATTTTGCGCAATGTTTTTAGTTTCAATTTAATATAAATAATTGTTTAAATATAAATAAATTATTTGTTAATATTTCATAAAATTAAATTAATAGTTGTTTTTTTTATCAAAATTCAACAATTATATCTTTTAAAGGAATATTTTTTAATGGCTTATAAATGATTTATTTGTATAATTCAGTACTTATTAATGCAAATTTTATTATACTGTTAATAAACTATTGTATTACTAATACTACTTCATTACTGATAAATTGATTTTATCACAAATATATATATAAATATATTAATTATTTTGGCACATATATTTATGATAAAATTTGATAAAAAAGGAAAGGGAATATGAAAATTTAAAATAAAATTATTGTGAAATTTTTTTGCAAAAAATTAAAAACTAAAATTTTAAATTTCATTTTATTACTAAACAAAAATAATAAACAATTTTGTAAAGTTGAAATCTATTTGAAAAAAATTAAAAAAAATAATAAATGAATGGGCTATTAAGTGGTACCAAAAAAACAAATAAACAACTCGTTAATCTTACAAATAGATTGTTTGCTTTTTTTTTTTTTCTAAGAACAGCTGATCCCATTTGAAATAATTTGCTAATATCTAATTTAGTTGCTAAATTTTGTTAAATTTCGTAATTTTTGTTACTTTTAAAATATTAAAAACAATATATATTTTTTTTTTCATTTTTTCACCTCAAAATTAAATTTTGCCCAACTCTTTTTGACCTAAAATTAATAAAATAAATTTCAAATTATTCTAAATTATTAATTGTTTTCTTTTTTTTTAATTTAACAATAATTCCATAAAATTATTTCTTTTAACTTCTTAATTAAAATCTATCCATAATATTTCCTTCTTTTCCTATTCTTGTCTTGTCTTTCTTTTTTTCCTTTTAAGATTCTAATTTATCCGATATTCAATTTCCACTATACTTCCTGCTCCAATTATTTGTTAAGAATTGATTAGCACAAGATGAAAGACATTTGGGTTAGCTTTACAAAATTTCCCTCTTTCAATTGTCCCATCAATGAATGCTATTTGTCATCTGCTTCGATTTTACTCTTTGCATGACACTTACCGCCAAACGTATATACTATTCTTACTTAACAACACTTCAAATTTACTAATAAAAAGCATTTCATTGGTTTCCTTAACCCAATGAAAAGCTTAAGCTGTAATTACTTTCTTTCATTCTTTTTTTTTCGTTGTTTTAAGCAGTTAATTTTACTTCACATATGAAAAAAAATTGTTTTCCATTTTTGGCAATAATTTTTGATCAAAAATTAAAAAGAAAAGAAAAAACGATTATATTAAAATGAAAATTTTTACTAAATTACAAGTTTGAAATGGAGTACTGAGTTAAATTCAAACAAAAAATTGTTTGTTTGAATCCAATCACAAATTTGTTCATTGGATTATTATTATTATTACCACTAATATTATTACTATTATTATTATTATTATTATTATTATTATTATTATTATTATTATTATTATTATTATTATCATTATTATTATTATTATTATTATTATTATTATTATTATTATTATTATTATTATTATTATTATTATTATTATTATTATT